GCTTTGGGAAAAGTGCAGAAAAGGGCAACTCAAATGATAAAAGGGTAGGAACACTTTCCCTATGAGGAAAGGTTAAGGCGCTTAGGGCTCTTTATCTTGGAGAAATGACGACTGAGGGGTGACATGATTGAGGTTTATAAGATTATGCATGGGAAAGAGCAGGTAGAGAAAGAGGTACTTTCCTCCCTTTCTCACAATACAAGAACTCGTGGGCACTCCATGAAATTGCTGAGCGGTCGGGTTAGAATGGATAAAAGGAAGTACTTCTTCACCCAAAGAGTGATTAACACTTGGAATTCACTGCCACAGGAAGTGGTGGCGGCTACAAGCATGGACGGCTTCAAAAGGGAATTAGATAAGCATATGGAGCAGAGGTCCATCAGTGGCTATTAGCCACAAGTTATAGATAGGGACTCTGGGGCAAATGATGCTCTGTCATCTTGGTGCTTGGGGGGGGTCAACAGTGGGAGGGCTTCTAATGTCCTGGCCCCACTGGTGGACCTCCTGATGGCACTGGTATTTCTGGCCACTGTGTGATACAGAGTGTTGGACTAGATGGGCCTTTGGCCTGATCTAACATTGGCCTTATGTTCTTATGGCAAAAAACAAAATAAAACAGGATCTCCAGTCAAACTGGCCTGGGGAAAAATTGCTTCCTGGCCCCAATATGGTGTTCAACATTTCCCTGGACATGTAAGAAAGGGCCACAGTTCCCCCTGGAGAAAATGGCTGCTTTAGAAGGTAGGCTGTATGACATTATACCCCACTGAGGTCCCGTCTCTCCGTAAACCCTGCTCTCCCCAGGCTCCGCCCCCCAAAAATCTCCAGGAACTTCCAAACCCAGACCCGGCAACTCTAACTGGCCTGGTTGCAGTGTATGGTTAAATGAGATTCTCCGGGTACCCATCATGGAAAGGTTTTTTTGGAAACAGCAAAGGATCCAGGGATGTTTCAGAAGTTCTCCTCATTTGAAATTGTCCCTGGATTCTGGAATTCAAAACCGCCTGGTTTCACCCCCACCCCCAAAGGGGAATCAATCTATGACTGAAGAGGCCTCCACTGATGTTTCTTTTTCATTTCCAAATTTTGCGCAGAACACTTTCATTGTGCAGGCTGCCATGCCATTTCCTTTGGGCCATTTGAATCTTCTTGGCCCCCTCATCAGAGCTTGGAGGCTAAGCAGGGTTGGCCCTGGTTAGTGCACCAAGGGACATCGGGGTTGCTGTTTAGAAACAAGCAATGACAAACCACCTCTGCTCATCTCTTCCCTTGAAAACTCCATGATCCTTGGATCACCATCAATGCTCCCTCTTAGCTGTGGAGTCTTGTGAGCAAAAATTCTACTTTGTGAGCTACCGGCATTAAAGTTGTGAGCGAGTGATTTGGCTGCTGCATAAATGAGTTTGCTCTGGAGCCATCCTTCCTGAGCGAAGACAAAAAAGTGTGAGCCAGAGGCTAAAAAACTCTGAGCTAGCTCACACTAACTCAGCTTAGAGGGAACACTGGCCATGAGTTAGTTGTGACTTGATGGCACACAATTATCATCATTATATATGTGTGTGTGTTTGCGTGTGTGCATTTGAAAGCATTTTTGGCCCCGGTCACACGGGAGGTTTAGGGCCGGAAGAGGGCCGGATCTGGGGCGCAGCAAACGGACGCGGTCCCACCGCAACATCTGGGAAGCGGCGAGCACCCATCCCTGATCCGGCCCTTCAGGCCAAAAATGTGCATACAAAAAGAACCTGCCAAAGAGCAGGACTTACTGGAAATGCCGCAGCAAACGCGGCCGTGGGATCACCGGCACATCCATCGTCAGGAGCATTCGAGGCTCCTGGCCGACCTGCGCATGCGCACACATGCGCAGCCGGCTGCCTCAGTCTACCTTCAGTGGCTTCCTCCCCGGCATCTGATCATGCCAGGGAGGAACTGCGCGGCGGCTCAGGTAGGGCTGCCAACCCCCCCGGTAGGGCGGAATTCCCCCCGCCCCGGAGGCCCGTCACCCGAGCCATTTGGCCAAATGGCGTGGCTCCGCCCAGCGTGTGACGTCACTTCCGGTGACGTCCTGGCGGCGCGCGCGCATCCCAGAGCGGCTCCCGGACCGGCGAGACGATCCCCCGCCGGTAGGGAGTTTTGATTTGGCAACCCTAGGCTCAGGGGATCTGTGTGATCCCGCCGCCGCGTGTCTCTTTTGGTGCGGCTCTAAAGAGCCGCAGTTTGGCCGCGCTTCCCCCGGGCCCATGTGGCAGGGGCCTTTAAATATTTTTTTATTGTTTACCACCTTGGGGATCCTAAATTGGGTGGAAAGGTGGCATAAAAAAACTATTTTAAATAAATAAATAAATAAATTGGTATTTCTGTTACAGAGTGGAGATATGTTTATACGGGCATGCAGTGGGAATAGTTTCCATGTAACACATTTATCATTGATTGATTGATTGATTCATTCATTCATTCATTCATTTGTTCATTCATTTGTTTGTTCATTCAAGTTAAAATGCTTGGGCCTATTTAGCTTGGAAAATAGCGGCTGAGGGGTGACATGATCGAAGTTTATAAGATTATGCGTGGGGTAGAGCCGGTGGAGAAAGAAGTACTTTTCTCCCTTTCTCACAATACAAGAACTCGTGGGCACTCAATGAAATTGCTGAGCGGTCGGGTTAGAACAGAGAAAAGGAAGTACTTCTTCACTCAAAGAGTGATTAACACATGGAATTCACTGCCACAGGAGGTGGTGGCAACTACAAGCATGGGCGGCTTCAAGAGGGAATTAGAAAAAACATATGGAGCAGAGATCCATCAGTGGCTACTAGCCACAAGGTATAGATAGGAACTCTCCATCTGGGGCAAGTGATGCTGTGTATTGTTAGTGCTTGGGGGGGGGGGCAGTGGGAAGGCTCCTAGTGTCCTGGCCCCACTGCTGGACCTCCTGATGGCACCTGGTATTTCTGGCCACTGTGTGACACAGAGTGTTGGACTGGATGGGCCATTGGCCTGATCCAACACTGGCTTCTCTTACGTTCTTATACTGTTCAAGTCATTTGTACCCTGGCTTTCTCCACGGTGGGGACCCCAAGAAGCTTATATTGTTCCCCACTCCTCCATTTTATCCTCACCACAGCCCTATGAGGTAGATCAAGATGGGTAGTCATGTTAGTTTACCTGTAGCAGTAGAAAAGAGCAAGAGTCCAGTAGCACCTGAAAGACTAACAAAATTTGTGGCAGGGTAGGAGCTTTCATGAATGACTGTTCATGTCTTCGGATACAGCTAGAATGTGAGTCCACCAGTCCTAATATCCATTCCGTATGGCTAAATGTGGTGCCTCCCATGGAGACAGATCAAGATGGGTAGTTGTGTTAGTCATGCCGGCCACATGACCACGGAAACGTCTTTCGACAGCGCTGGCTCTTTGGCTTGGAAACGGAGATGAGCACCGCCCCCTAGAGTTAGATTTGACTGGCTTTCGAGCGAGGGGACCGTTACCTTTACTAGCAGTAGAAAAGAAGAATAGTCCAGGAGCACCTTAAAGACTAACAAAATATGTGGCAGGGGAGGAGCTTTTGTGAAAATCTGAAGAAGTGAGCAGCAATTCACGGAAGCTCATCCCCTGCCACAAATTTTGGTTGTCTTTAAGGTGCTGCTTAGGAGCTGCGGTGGCTCAAGTGGTTAAGACGCTGAGCTGCAGGCTGTGGAAGGTCAGTAGTTCAGCAGTTCGAGACCCGAGTGTGCCACATGACGGAGTGAGCTCCCGTCTCTAGCTCCAGCTCCTGCCAACCTAGCAGTTCGAAAGCAAGAAATGGCAAGTAGATAAATAGGTACCACTTTGGTGGGAAGGTAACAGCGTTCCGTGCGCCTTTGTGTTTAGTCATGCCGGCCACATGACCACGGAAACGTCTTTGGACAGCGCTGGCTCTTCGGCTTTGAAACGGAGATGAGCACCGCAACCCTAGAGTTGGATTCGACTGGCTTTCGAGCAAGGAAAACCTTTACCTTTAAGGTGCTACTGGACCCTTACTCTTTTCTCCTGTGAGGTGGGTTAGGCTGAGAGAGTTTCCACGTAACACGTTCAGGAATGTAGTTTTTTGTAAATGAGTCCCGATCTATGCTGTGCTGGGATAATCCATATCTGGAGTCACGTGAAAACGCTCCAGTCAGACCAGAATGTGTTATATAGAAGAGAGGGGGTTGCTTTTGGATTTTGTTTGTTGAGAGCCAGTTTGGTGTAGTGGTTAAGTGCGCGGACTCTAATCTGGGAGAACCGGGTTTGATTCCCCACTCCTCCACTTGCAGCTGGCTGGATGACCTTGGGCAAGCCATAGTTCTGTCAGAGCTGTTCTCTCAAGGACAGTCCTGGAAAGAGCTCTCTCAGCCCCACCCACCTCACAGGGTGTCTGTTGTGTGGAAGGGAAGGGGAAGGAGTTTGTAAGCCACTCTGAGACTCCAAGTGAAGGGTGGGGTATAAATCCAATCTCTTCTCTTCCTCTTCTCCTCCTCAAAAGTTCTCTTGTTCCTTTCTGCTAATATTCTGTTCCTCTCCATCCCAAATGCTCGGTTTATGGGCTAACTTACCATTTATTTTGTGCTCCGCTATGTTCCCCTTAAGGGTAATTATGCTTGAAGGAGGGCGGGCGGGGGAGAGAGAGAGAGACTTATTCTAAGCAAACATTCACTTCATTAGTATCAAATTGTGCCTCTCTCTCTTTTTTTTCTTCCCTCATTGCGTCCTGCAGCAAATTTGGCAATTCAGTTGCAAAGTGCCCAACGGGGATCTCAGCGTGAACTCTCTTAGTTAGTTTTGCTTCTATCGCTGGAGCTCCAGTCGCAGCAATCCTTGCCTTTAAGCGGAGAGCTCAGCCGCCTCAAAGTCTAACCTTGCCAGCGGCTTGTTATGGCGAAACTGCTGATGTCAGCTCTTTGGGGGTATTCCCTCCCCCTTCCTCCATGTTTGAAGTCTTAAAACAATCCGTCTCACGCTACTTTCTCTTCCCCTCCCCTCTCACAGCTGCAAGTGGAAATCACTGATGCCAACGGCAAAAGTATAGAAGGTCCGGTCCCTCTCGACATCGTCATTATCGACCAGAATGACAACAGGCCCATCTTCCGGGAAGGACCGTACATCGGTCATGTCATGGAAGGGTCTCCGACAGGTAAACTGGCTTCAGGAAAATGTCTGTCGTTTGTAGCCTTCTCCTCCCAAATCTGTGCTTACTTATACAACTTGGAGAGCTGTTCCTCTAAGGCTCGTTGTTAGTTGTGATAAGTATGGTCCGTACCACTTTGGCGCCGCTTCGGTGGGAAGGTAACAGTGTTTTGCGCGCTTTGGCTTTTAGTCATGCCGGCCACATGACCATGGAAATGTCTTCGGACAGCGCGGGCTCTTCGGCTTGGAAACAGAGATGAGCACCGCAACCCTAGAGTCGGACTCAACTGACTTTCGAGCAAGGGAAACCTTGGCCTTTACCTTTGTATGGTTTGATTCCATCAGTGGTCTTCAGAGGGCGGGTTGTGATCCTGCAGTGGGTGATGGAGTGCCGGCTCCTAGGTTGTGAAGATCTATACCGCTGCAATGTGTCCTGCTTCTTTGGAAGGCTCTTACTGCTAGTGTGAAGGTCAAGCCACAGCTGACTTAAGGTGACCCCATAGAGGTTTTCACGGCAAGAGATGAGCAGAGGTGGTTGGCCATTGCCTGCCTCTGCATAGCAACCATGGACTTCCTTGGTGGTCTCCCATCCAAGTACTAACTGGGGCCAACCGCGCTGAGCTTCTGATGAGATCAGGCTAGCCTGGCCTATCCAGGCAAGAGACGTTCAGAGGTGGTTGGCCATTGCCTTCCTCTGCACAGTGACGCTGGACTTCTTTGGTGGTCTCCCATCCAAGTACTAACTGGGGCCAACCGCGCTGAGCTTCTGATGAGATCAGGCTAGCCTGGCCTATCCAGGCAAGAGACGTTCAGAGGTGGTTGGCCATTGCCTTCCTCTGCACAGTGACGCTGGACTTCTTTGGTGGTCTCCCATCCAAGTACTAACCGGGGTCAACCGTGCTGAGCTTTTGAGATCTGACGAGATTGGGCTAGCTTGGGCCATTCATGTCAGGGTTTGCTGCTAGTGTACATGGGTAGAAAGGCCGTGTCCCAAGCGTGCCCTTTGCACACACTCTGAGAGAAGCAGCAGGGGGGATGAAATGAAGTTTCTCAGGGATGCAGAAGATTCTTCCACGGTTTTGACTCCGTGGCTCGGTCCTCTTAAGTATGATGCACCATCTGGGACTTGGTTTGTGTCTCTTGTACCCATTTACCTTGGTCTGCTATCTATAGTCCAGTCTTTGATAACCCGTGAAGATAGATCTCCAACTCTTCCTGGCTTATGACTCTGAACCCTACGCTGAACATGAGTCAGCAGTGTGATACAGCAGCTAAAAAGGCTAATGTGATTTGGGGCTGTAGCAACAAATGTAAACCGCTCTGAGCCCCACTAGGGGTCATGGGCGGTATATAAATCACATGTAAATAAATAAATAAAGTATAGTGTCCAGATCATGCAAAGGGATGATATCGCTTTACTGAGCTCTGGTTAGACCTCACCTAGAGTACTGAGTTCAGTTTTGGGCACCACAATTTTAAAAGGTTATAGACAAGCTGGAACATGTCCAGAGGAGGACAATGGAGATGGTGAGGGGCCTGGAGACCAAGTCCTATGAGGAAAGGCTGAAGGACCTGGGTATGTTTAGCCTGGAGAGGAGACAACTGAGAGGTGATATGATAGTCATCTTCAAGTACTTGAAGGGCTGTCATATAGAGGATGGTGCAGAGTTGTTTTCTGTTGCCCCAGAAGGTCGGACCAGAACCAAAAGGTTGAAATTTGGCTAAACATTAGGAAGAACTTCCTGACAGAGCAGTTCCTCAGTGGAACAGGCTTCTTCGGGAGGTGGTGGGCTCTCCTTATTTGGAGGTCTTCAAACAGATTCTGTGAACTGAGGCAGATCACGAGAAGGGAGGGCAGGAAGGGTTGCCTCAGTGCTTAGTTCTCGTGGCCTTTTCTTACATGCCCAGGGAAATGCTGATCACCAGTTTGGGGTCAGGAAGCATTTTTTCTCCAGGCCAGTTTGGCTGTAGATCTCGGAGGGTTTTTTTTTTTTTTTGGTAAACAAATTTTATTTTCTCAGGAATACAACATATAAAACATTTCATTCTATCAATTGTCTACCCCATTCCCAGTTCCTCCCCTCCCTCCAATGGCTTCCCACAATGCTTCCACCCCTGCTCCAAATTACTTCATATCATCAACAATATCAGTTTTTCATCATTACAATCTAAAGATAACATCGTTTGACTTAATATTGATCTAAACATATTAAGTTTTGTTTCACATCCCAGTTCTTTTCCAGATAAATTTTAAAATCATTCCATTCTCCAAAAAACTCATCGTCTTCTTTGTTATTCAGTTTTTTTGTAATCTTATCCATTTGTGCCATGAACAGAACTTTTTGTATCCATTCTTCAACCTCTGGTACCTTTTCCGTCTTCCAAAACTGAGCATAAATCATTCTCGCTGTCACTATCAGGTACCAGAGTAAAGTTTTTTTAGTCGTATTGACTTCTTCCATTTTGAGTCCCAAAAGCAGAATTTCCGGTGCTTTTTTAAAAGAACATTTCAGTATTTTTTGCATTTCATTGTGGACTTTTGTCCAAAAGTCTACAGCTTTCTCACAAGTCCACCACATATGATAAAATGAGCCCTCATGCCTCTTACATTTCCAACATTTGTTTGACATATTTTGATTCATATTTGCAATCTTCTTAGGTGTCATGTACCACCTATACATCATCTTATAACAATTTTCTTTAACATTAGTACATGTCGAGATCTTAATAGAGTTTTTCCACAAATATTCCCAAGTTTCCATATCCACTTCCTTATTCATATTAATAGCCCATTTTAACATTTGTTCTTTAACAGTTTCATCTTCAGTATACCATTTTAACAACACCTTATACATTTTAGAAATATTTTTTCCTCCTCCACTCTCCCATACCTTTTCAATTTCATTTTTTTCCTCTCTAAAACCATAGTTTTTTTTGTCAGATCTAAAAAGATCATAAATCTGCATATATTTCAACCACTCATATTCATATTCAATTTCATTCTGCTTTTTCATTACCCACTCTGTTCCCTCTTTTTTAATTAAATCTCTATATGGCAACCAGTCTCTACCTCGCTGTCTTGAGTAAGATATCAACACTTCTACTGGTACAATCCACAATGGTCTTAAGTCACTCTGGTACTTCTTATATCTTGTCCATACCATATACAAAGCTTTTCTCACCAAGTGAAGTTTAAAAAAACTGTCCATTTTTATCTTGTCATACCATAAATATGCATGCCAGCCAAATCTACAATCATGCCCTTCCAACCCCAACAATCTGTCATTTTCAAGCTTCACCCATTGATCCATCCATGTTAGACAAACCGCTTCATAATATAGTCTAAGATTTGGCATTTGTAGACCTCCTCTTTCTTTGGCATCACAAAGTATTTTCATTTTGATCCTTGGTTTCTTGCCTGCCCAAACAAATTTTGACAACTCTTGTTGCCACTTGGCCAACAAATCCGTTTTATGCAGAATTGGTATTGTTTGGAACAGGAACATCAAACGTGGTAGGACATTCATTTTTATAACTGATATTCTTCCCATCAGTGATAAGTTCATTTTATCCCATTTCTTAAAATCTTGAGTCAGCTTAGTCCATAATTTCTCATAATTATTCTTATATAGGTCTATATTTTTTGCCGTTAATTCAATTCCAAGGTATTTTGTTTTTTTAACTACTTCACATTGTACCAGTTCTTGTAGTTCCACTTGTTTTTGTTTGATCATGTTTTTACATATAAGTTTTGTTTTATTCTTATTTACGTAAAAGCCGGCCAATTCTCCAAACTCCTTTATTTTTTGAAAAAGCAATGTCAATTTTTCTGTTGGGTTTTCCACCATAAACATTACATCGTCTGCAAATGCTCGATATTTGTATTGGTGTCCTTTATGTGTCAAGCCCTTTATTTCTTGATCGTACTGTATTTTTTGTAAAAGTATTTCCAATACCCAGATAAATAATAACGGTGATAACGGACAACCTTGCCTTGTTCCTTTCTGTACTTTGAAGTTATCTGTCAGTTCTTTATTCACATTTATTTTAGCTCTTTGTTCAGAATAGATAGCTTCAATACAATTTCTAAAATGTTGTCCCGCTTCAATCTTTTCCATCATCTGGTGCATAAAATTCCAATTAAGATTGTCAAAAGCTTTTTCTGCATCAACAAACAGAAAAGCTACTTCTTTTTCTGGGTGCTTTTCATAATATTCAATTGCGTCCATTACTATTCTTACATTGTCTCTAATCTGCCTTTTGGGTAAAAAGCCCGCTTGATCTTCAGAAATTACCGTTTGTAAATAGTTTTTCACCCTTTCTGCAATAATTTTTGCAAAGATTTTATAATCGTTGTTCAAAAGAGATATTGGCCTGTAGTTCTTTACATTTGTTGAATCTTGTCCTTCCTTTGGAATCAAAGAAATAATTGCTTCTTTCCATGAGTCCGGCACCTTTTTGTTTTCTCTTATTTCGTTGGTTAAAGCTTCCAGGACCGGGGAAATTTCTTCTTTCATCTTTTTGTAGAATTTCGCTGTAAATCCGTCCGGCCCAGGCGCCTTCCCCAACTTTGTCTCTTCTATTGCCTTCATCACTTCTTCTTTTTGAATTGGACCATTTAATAAATCTTTGTATTCCTTACTTATTTTTGGTAGTGGAATCTCCTTTAAATATGTTTTAATCTTCTCAAGATCAACTCTAGTTGTTTGGAATAGTTTAGCATAATACTTGAAGAAACATCTCTTTATTCCATTAGGATCAACGAACTCTTTTCCATCTTCTATTATTTTGGTTATCATTCTTCTCTCTCTTCTAGCCTTAAGTTGCCAAGCTAAGTATTTTCCCGGTTTGTTCGCCCCTTCAAAAGATTTCTGTTGTAACTTCTTTAAATTCCAATACATTTCCTGATTCCAAGTCTCATTCAGTTGTTCCTTCAGCAACTTTAATTCTTTAATAATTTGCTTTTTTCCAGGCTTCTTTTTTAATTCCTTTTCTTTCTGAGCAATT